TTGTCTCCTGGCATACCTATTACCACCTTCTCCGTAAAAGAGTTTAGCTATGCGTAGTCGCCCCTCCACAATGCTTCGGCCCCGCCTCCTGGGGCTAAGTGCTCTGTGATTGGAGGAATTGATCGATTATTAAATCAACAATATCTCGTTAATTATCCATCGAATCCAAATTTTGTAAAAAGCTTTTCGAGAGCTTTTGATGAGCTTTATCTCGTGGTATAGTTTTCCGGGCTCAAAATCAGAACGCCCATAAATATAATATATTACGTCTGGATAGTGCAGCGGGGGGTCAAAAGCGACACTTGAGGACCCGGATATGAAACCAATGTGCACATTTTACTCCAGCATAAGGTTGCGGGTTGCGGGTGTCGCTGCTTAGTACTTTTTTACTCTAGCTCTGGCAGCTTCTAGGTACTTATATTCAAGGTGATTTTTTACGATACTTATTCATTCATTTACTTTAAATTTAAGTAAAACTTGAATGGATTGTTTTAAAAAAATATCAATACATATATGTATACATTAGGAGCAACATTCGGCATGCTAACCGTATAGCGCCAAAAGTCAATGGGAGTCCTCATAAGGTGGGGAAAAAGTTGAAACCTTACATAGGTGCAATGACGGTTAACACCTTGAATGGACACCTCATGTACGTAGGTACAGGTATATTTGTAGGTATACAGACTCTGTCGTGCTAAGGTACACGTGTTACGAGCTTATCATTCGGAAATAGAAAAACTACTATTTTTCACTCCTGCAAAAAACGATGACTACATTTTCAGATTTTCAAGTGGTTTGTCATCGCATTAAAAATTTTTTTTTTTATGTGATTTCTTTCCTCTCACCTGGTAAACTTAGTACCATACTTGGCCGCTTCGTGACGCTGAGTTTATTTAACGTAAGCAGTTTGAAATTCACAAATAGTATTTTACTGACTGATCATTACAATTTTTCTATTTTCTAGAACGTATATTTTTTTATCTTCCTAAAAAATACTATCCTATTTCCCTACCGAGGGTGCACCCGATATATTTCCACATATTTCCTCTAGTATATTTTCTACCTCGGGTACTTACAAAATTTTTGTTTCACACTAGATAGTCTTGTACCTTTATGGCTAATTAACATTTTTTTATATTTTCTACTTTCCTTTCTCCACGTGATATACAACAAGTTAACAAAAATATTTTTTATAAGAGATTGAAGAGAAATACCTATTATTATGCTTATCTATTAAGAAAATCTGTTCTTCAAAAAATATTTCGGTTGATGACCTTTTTTTCGTACGACTTATTGCGTGAACAATTGAATATGTTTAACAACAATCCAGCTTTATTATGCAACTTGATGATTTGAGCAGGATTATTTTTTGGCGTGCGCGTGTGTGTGCAAATTATGTTGCACCCACACATGCACACGCAGTTTTCTCCATACCAAGCAAGTTTAACTTTCTGTTAAAATTCATACTTGGTGGCCCTATTATAGAGCACGGAGTGAATTTAAACAAAATTTAGGAATAATGGAAAAAGGAGAGGAATCGTTCCGTCCTCGATCGCTAGCTGGAACTCATCAGTGTGGTGTGCTAGCGATCTAGCCACAGATGAACACTCTGCTAACACTTGCACTGATACATATTACTATAACTAAGGCAAGATGGACATAGAAGGTTGGGAAAGAGGCATGAATTTTTAATCGTATGCTTATAATAAATCAATTAATCTAAAAACTCTGGAAACTAACTTGCTTATTTAAATGATTTAAATT